TTCAGGAAAATCCGACGTTTTCGAGCCAAATTTTGTTCAGCTATGAGACCCATTTCCGACTCAATGGGTATGTCAAAAAAAAAAAAAAGAGACTCAAGAGCTGCTATTTCATCCAGAAAAAAAAAACGGTTTGTGGGTCGGTGGAATCAACGGTCTATATTCCTTTAAAAATGATGCCAGTGATCATTGAAGTTGAAGCTCGTGGTCTCGGCATCAATTTATTGAGACATCATTTCGGTGAGCAAGATCGGTGATTGGCCAGCAAGATCGAATGATATAATAGACTTTTTTCTATGGGAATATGTAAAGTCTAAAGTCTATGCGGAGAGTCCTGCTTCGATTCCGGCCTTGGAGCAAACTATCACGTGTGTCATTCGATAGTTACCAGTCGAAATGATCGAACGTGTCATCGAAAATTGAAGTCAACGGGTAGAACATCTGAGACGTAGCCGCTGCCAACATTTGATGTATAATCTTCAAAAAATAAAAGCCAAAGAATATTCTTTCGAACGATAATGTGTTTTTCTTTAAAAAAGTAGAGAACCTCGAAATGGATCACTGTTTAGTATGACGATTCTACCGAATTTTATCTTCATAAATCACCATATAAAAAATAGCAATTGCTTTAATGGGGAAATGAATTTTGCATACTACTTTTAAGGTAGTTACTAATTTATGTGACAATATATAAATATATTACAATTGAAAAGTCATTGCCCTTAATATTAACATAACACTCTGAATTAATGACTCGGCCCGATCCAAGTATCAACGTCAACAAAATTTGATCTAAATATTCGGATACTTGCCAAATGAAGAGACATTGAAGAGACATGACAGACATATCGGCGGCTTCTTATTCCACATAAGTAGATATATTGGCATACAAACATGTATGTACTCACATATATTTATATATGACACATAAATAATATTTTTTTAATGCTCAGGCATTACAGAAATTTTTACTTGCACATGGTGAAATTCTGAAATTATTCTCATTGCATATTACAACTTATAAATTATAGACCTTGCGACGTTTTTTTTTTATTTTCACCACATTAATGAAAAAGTGTTAAGCAATTATTTCATTTTGCTGGCTCGCGAATGTTAAAAATAAATATTACCCAAAAATTACCCTGAAAAATATCAGACAATGCATGTGCGTAATGTGGCGAAACGATGGAACTCACGACAAACCTGTCTACGAACACCACTGCATTAGGGTACATTTGTACAAATTAATATATTTATGTAGATCATACTTTAAAGCACTTAATCAAATATGTATCAAAACGAAGGCGGCCAAGAGGAGACTGGTTCTGTTCTGTAACTTTTCAGACTAGTTTCAAAGTGGCACCTAATTAATCAATGGAACTTTTGAAAAGTCGTTGTAGCTATGGCGAATCTTGAATCGGAGGAATATTTGCGAATAAAAACAGTTTTCTTGGACAAAAAGATCGTTCTTTTAGTTTAGATTTTGACGAACTCAGCAAAGACAACTTACTTGCTTCCCCAATACACCGCGCACATCTATCGAATATTAAAAAAAGCATCAGAAGAATTTTAATCATTTCTTGAGGACTAGTTCAGTGACTTAAGCTTTAAAGCAGTGTTTTTAATAACTTCAGTAGCTGTCAAACCTTCTGTATTTGTAGAATTATATACCCTCTACTGAAAGACCGTTGTAGGGACTTTCATAACCAGTTTTGTCTTAGCTTATATTATATAGGTAAATTTTAACCGGTCACGACAAACCTTGACACATACACTGATAATCGGTCAATTAATTTGTGAGAACGTCAAAAAATTACCTGTTAGGAATGGCCTTAAGTAGTTACGAGGGTTTTCTCGGTGAAAAACGGCATATTTTTCTCATAAAAAAGATGAAATATTTTATTAGATTTTTTATTGTTACAAACATACACTATTAACAAAAAAATTTCTGAAATTTTTTCTTTGGAAAAATATATTAAACTCGGCCATTACGACGCCAGTGATCCCCCTGTAAAAAGATGCGCCCGCGTTGGCCGAGTTTGATAACTCCATACAGGATCAACTAAAGCGAAAAAATACGTTTCTACGTAAAACCTTAGCTTAGAACTTGGATGAAGGAAAAAAACTGAAAATTGGAATTTTTGCAGATATTTTTGTTAAAAAAAAATTAAAATTTCTTCAGTGGAAATTCCGCGAAATTTTTTTTTTTTTTTTTTTTTTTTATTAATAGTTGTAATCGAAAAAAATCATTCGTCCAAGTATTCAAGAATCACAGACCTTTGCAAAATTTCTTGAAGATTGGTTGAGTAGTTCTCGATAAATCTTCTCAACCTACTTGAAAATCGTAATTTCGAGAAAAACGCGTTTAAAGACGGTGCACTTAGCCTAGCTAGCCTAGAGCCCACAAGTTCTCAAGGCTGTAGCTCCGAAACTATTACTCGGATCAATTTTTTGAAAATTTAGGACAATATTTTAGAGATGTTGTAGAATTAAAGGAGACAATAAAAAAATCGTTTTTAGAAATGTAACCCCTTAAACACATAAACATAATACAAAAACCCAGGAAAAGGACTAGTATTGGAAAAAAAATTCAGAAAAACTAAAACATTCCACTTTTTCCCGGGTTGTACACAAACTTACTCGTGAAATTAACGCATTTGCTAATAAAATTATATTTTATAAAAGTGTGTGCATTTTTGTTTCACCAACAACAACAATTGTTGTCGCGAGCCTGTCACCAACTTTTGCAACAGCAGTGGCAACGACAACAACAGCAGCAGCAGCGATAGCGACAGCAGTAGCAACAGTAAAGCATTGGCAATTATGAAGAAAAATCAGCATCAGCTCGCGACTGCAGCTGACCGACTTGCTGACTAAACGACTGGATGTTCTTGATTCGTCGCGTTAAGGCGAACGCTTTGAAGATAAATTTGCTGGCTGCTATTTTCGTTTCTTTGCATGTGTATTTGTTGTATTTTTAAGTGTATAATTTTGCATTTGTTTTCTTTTTTTGTTGCTGTTTTTGTTATTCTTTCTTTGAGTTCAATGCAAATATATGCAAATAAATAGCTGAAACGTTTTAAAAAATTCGTTTTATTATGGAAAAACGTTGAATCAGTTGCAGCCCGCGGCGGGGTGGAAAAAAAAAACAAAAAAAAAATTATATAAAAAATTAACTCAATTCAGCACGAGTTTAGTATAGTCAATTAGCGTTGACCCAAATGCAATATTTTCGCAATTTTTTTTTTATTTTTGCTTGCATCTAATTTTAGAAAGTTATGGACATTTTGCAATATCGTGCAAAATCTGTGATAATAAATTTATGTTAAACAGACATTTTCTAGGTTATGAATATGTTTGTTGTAGGAAACTTTTTTTTTTCTCTTTTATATTTATAAATTTATTGATTTGGAAAGTCAAGTTAGCATATTTACGCAAGTAGAACCAGTTGAACTGCATACGAGGGTTGTAAAGGCGGTGTGTCTACATAAGTACTTTGGGAACTTGAGAAACAGAAATTATAAAAACACAGTATTGTGAAGATTATATTACAAAACAGTATTTTTTATTAAAATCTTTTCAAATATTATAAGAGAAACTATCGCCCATCTTGAGACGCAGCCTTCATTATTGGATAATATTTGACCGAATAAACCACGTCTAGCACGCAGTGAAGAAAATAAAGCAGTGAAGAAAATATAGCAGTCGTAGCTGAGGGTGACCACAGAGACCGTGGATTCGATTCGGCGCCGTTCGCAGCAACTCGGACTGACGTATGGTACGACTTGGCGCATTTTACTTTGAGATCTTAAATTGAAGAAGGTCCGAAGCTAAAAAGGACGGCGCCACTTTCGGTGACTAGATAATTGCATGTTTCGGGCCGGTCAATTGGCCACCAAGATTGTGTGATATCACACCGTTATACTTTTTCCTGTGGGGATAAGTAAGGTCTAAAGTCTATGCTTCGATTCTGGCCTTGGAGCAAAACATCACCAGTGTCATTCGGCAGTTACTAGTCGAATGCTCGAAAGAATCATCGAAATTTGGACTCAATGGATGAACCATCTGAAACGTAACCGCGGCCAGCAGTTGGAAGAGATAATCTTCAAAAAATAAATGCCAAAGAATGTTCTTTCGAATGATAAGAAACATTCCCATGAAATTTAAAGTTTCTGTGTTTCTTCTTTAAAACAGTAATGAACCTCGAAATATATTTTCATTATTCTTCGAAGAAAAATTATATAAAATTGGCTGCATTTTTGCGGAAAAAAAGTTGTCCTATTGGCTGTTTTAATTCATCTGACTGCAAATGCTTCCTGCTTTGCTCTGCAGTGTATACGAGAATAAAATAACAAAAAATATTGAACAACGATATAAACTGTTCTTCTTTGTTCAAAGCAAATCGGCCTCGAATAAAAGAGGAAGCAGTTTAATAAAATCATATATGGTTCTTGACTGTAGTGGAGAATATACCATAACTAAACATTTCTATTGAACAAAACTAAAGTCAACATGAATTAAGTTAAAAGTTAAAAAAACGTAATTATATGAAGTTCTTTAAAGTAAAGATAGATACACTTTACGTAAATATTTTTAATAACTGCAAATTTTAACATACTAAAATCTAAAAGGTTAAAAAATCATATCAAGCATAATAATTAATAAAGAGCTTGTCACATTCAATTATGTTAAAAAGTCGCATGAAGAAAATATAACAATACAAATATGTAAGTACATATGTTATAGCCGGCCGGTATTTTTTCTAAAAAATCGAAATATGTTCTACGTCTCATTCTGAACTTTGCCGAAGACCTAGCTAAAATTTGCATTCACTAATGCAGTGAAAACGGTACATTAGATGAGCAGATTGACAACCAATGTAGCTACATACAATAAACATGTCAAAACAGAATGTAGAACCTCAAACCACAATATGGTCAACAGCAAACTCGCAACATTTTGGCAATTACAACTGTAAATAAATTCAAAAATATTTTGGTTACCTCTTTAAATAAATCCAATTGGCTGATAAATGGGCTCAAATCGAATGCTTCACTCGCTGTCGCTTGCATGTTATCCTCGCCATTTTCCGTTTCTTTCTTAATCTTGGGCGCTGTTTCATCGCTGGCACTTGAGGAGGTGGCCACTTCATTTTCTACCACAAATTCCTGCTCCTCTTTGTCGAGCTGTTCGGTTTTAATGCTAGCAATATCGGCCGGTTCGGGAAAAGTATCATTTAATGCGCCTGCGCCGACTGTTTCCTCCTTAACGGCGACACCGCCCGCCACTGCGCTCGCGAAACTCGGAAAAAACATATCCAAATTAACATCAATATAGGTGTTGTTGTGCGGCTCATCTTTCAGCGGTAAGCCAGCGTAGGGATTGTTGACGGCCAAATCACCAAAATCACGCAGATCGGCCAAGTTCTGCTCCCATACCGAACGCTGATCTTGAAAGTTCTCCGAATTGAGAAACACATCCAACTCCGAAGCGGGCAAACCCATATTGCTGGCATTCGTGCTGGCCGCCGCAGCAGCCGCAGCCGCATTAGCAGCCTGTTCCAAGGCCGCAGCACCGGCCACATTCACACTACTAGCGGTGCTCGTTGTCGTACTCGTTGTTGCCTGCAGCTCCGGTAGCGTGGCGGTTTGATTGGTGCCACCATCATTTTGCACATTCAACATGTAAGCGGTTACGTTATATTGCGGCGGTGTGGCATCGTGTTGACGATCGTAGCGTATTAGATCCTCTATGAGTGGCATCATAGTTTTGCGATTCGCATACGGATACTCCACCATCGGCACGGCGCGCAACATTTCCAGCTCCCAGCCATCGCCATCGCGCAACTCCAACTGTGAATCCCAATTGCGCAGGCGTTGCTGTAGGAAATTATCCGGATCCACGTGCAGCAAGCTCAAGGCTAATGCTAACTGCAGCATCTTCATGGCGTACGATTTCTTGTTCGATATCATGTTGAGCCGTTGTGAAGCTAGCGCTAACGGTAATACTAGCGTAGTTATTTAACGCTGTGGTGAGCGCAAGACTCCTGCAACCACGTGTCACCCCTACCCTCCGACCCCCGAAAAGTGTGTGAAATGTCACAGTCTAACTGTGACAATCAGCTTTCAGTGTCGACGGCGACGGCAACGCAGACGCCGCGGCGCGTTGCCTTGAATTTGAGGTTAATTTGTGCGTTGGTGCTTTGACTTTGCTGCTTTAATTTAGTCGGATTTGAAATAAACCATAAATATGTGATTATCTAATAATTTTCTGTTCTTCGGGGGTGTTACGAATCTGCCCCGATTTCAGTTGGCGCAATGTTTAATTGTTTCTGACTTTTACTGCAGTCGTTTTTGTACAACAAATTGCTTTATGGATTTACTGTTGTTGCTCTTTTAAATCTTTATTTGTTGTTTTTGGTGCACACAAGCGTTCTCTTTATCCCTCGCAACGTTAAATCGCAATTAACCCACAATTAATTAAAAGCGCTGAAAGAGATCAGAGAAAATTATTAAATAAATATATATGTATATAAATGCGCATGTGTGTTTAAACGTATGTACTAGGCAATATATACATAAATGTGATTGGACATAATATATACGAAATATGTAAAAATAATTAAGCTATGAATGCGAGCAATTTATTTACAAATGTGACAAGTGAAGGATGCTTGATGTTTTCGCTCACGCAAAAGGCGTGCAGTAAGTAATGATATTTGAATGAGACTACGTTAATGAAAATTTTATATATGATTGTGTAAGGAAGTGTTGTGACCAAGAATGGAATAGACGGGACCTTCCTCAACAACGGCTGAGCGCAAAAATAGCTCATATTAAGCTGTCGGGATGTATCTAAATTATTTATGAGTTGAATATTTCCGGTTAACACACAACAAAATTAAAGACCCGACAGAAATAATGGTTCTTATACAGCAGAACGAAGACAGGATTCCTCGTGTTTGAGAATAGAAAAATTATACCACTAGCCACGTGCCACGAGCTCAAGGGGAACTCCAGTACTACGAAAGTACTCAAAATGTACAAAAGAATTAGGATTAACGTAATATAAATCACACGTATAAAAACAGAAGAATTTAATGAAAGAAAATCCTAAGTATGCTTATTTAAGGAAATGAAGAAAAGAACAACCAAATTAAACTTTAGATTTAGCTTTCAAAAGTGCGATTAGGCCATATATTACCATTTAGAGCACAATAAGTCAATTTTAAATATTTGTAACTTCTCTCTTTCAATCCAAAACTCAGACAGTATCTTCCAATCGGAAGTGACAGGTATAGAGAAGTCCTGTGAAGTTCTATTGAATAATATTAGGCGTTTGACACAGTCTCATAGAGTTGTACAAGACCGTCCCCTAGTGGCGCCATCTATATGTCGACTTAGAATCTGCTATCCTTATCGATTGTTCAGTAAAAATTTCATGACATTTCATTGATTGGAAGTGAAATTATTGCGTTTTAAGTGTCAGTATGTTTGTGTTATGGCTGCGAAAATGAGCTACGAACAAAGAGTTAACATTAAATTCTGTTTTAAAATTGGTAAAACTTTTACAGAAATGTTTCAATTGATGAAACAAGCCTATGGCGATGATTGCCTATACCGTAGCAGAGTACACGAGTGGTTTCAACGCTTTCAAAGTGGTCGTGAGGACATAAATGACGATCAACATATGGGCCAATCAAAATCCATGATCACCGGAAAATAAATCGAAACTGTGCGTGAATTCATCAAAAATCAGCCGAAATCATCATTTAAATTCATGGAAATGGAATTAAACATCTATAAAACATAGATTTGTCGCATTTTGGCTTACAAAGGTGTATGCACGGTTTGTTCCGCACAAATAAACTGACGACCAAAAATTGCTCTTATCGATCGATGCTTGTGGCCGATTAATTAACCAAAAATCACATTTTAACCATTAACCACACCCCGCATTCACCTGGTATGGCACCGTGCCACTTCTTCCTTTTCGGAAAACTGCATTTGTCCATGAAAGGAAAGCGTTATGCAGGCGTAGAGGCCGTTCAAAAGGCTTGCACCGCCATACTGGCGGCCATACCGGCCTACGAGCTAAAACTTTCGTTCGAAATGCTTTTGGGCCTTGCAAAAAGCTGTATTGAAGCAGATGGAGACCATGAATAAAATAAATTGATTTTTCCGAAAAAAAAAACATTTGTTCTTTTCTCCTGTTTACTTTGGAACGCACCTTGTAAGTTATAACGATCCGAAAACATAGCGTTCAGAGTTGTATTTGCGTAAACTTATTTTAGTATGCAATCCAACAACAAATTTGTTATAATAGTAAACAAATTTATGATTTTATGATTTCACGTTGCTTTATGACATGTTATGAGCACCCCATATATATACAGCAAACAAGGCAACCATATAAACGGATAGTCAGGCGGCATTACATGCCTTGTCGACACCACATAAGTGGAGCCTCTTTACACGAATCGGGGCGGAATCAATGTCTGCTGGGAACGAACAAAAGAAAGCTTTAAATGCATTTTGAACAAGTAGCTCAGAGCACATGGAACTCAAAAACAAGCAGCAAGATAACAAAGCAGAAATGACCCAAACATGCAAGAGAACCAAGGTCCTACTACTGAAGTGTAGACTTTTAGCTACTAAAACGAGGCACTGACTTTAAGAAGAGCATAAGCTGAAAAATTAGCCTGCCTTATAACAGTATTTATCGCAGCTACGGCTAGAAAAGAAAGCCTTTGACAAACCTTGAATGGTTGTCCATGAAGAGCATAACGGACATTGAGAGCACCAAATGGTTTGGGCGCAGATAATACGGTCGACTATAATGCATCAATTGTGTTTTATTATAATTTGAGAATTTGCGTGATACATGTCATGTCATACATATGTAAAACTTCAGGAACTTTGAAATGCCAAATGGAGGTTCAGTTTAATACGAGCTGGAATTTTGTTGGGACTTTTGGCAACCTCATCAGCTATTTCATTTCCCGGAATGCTCTTATGACCCAGGAAACAGTATATAGTATATTCAGCCGCTTCCCAACATCCATAACATCTACTTTCTTCCATGGACGTCCTCAAAGCAATAATTACCGCTTGTCTATCGAAGTAAATACTCGTACTGATATTCCTTATGCTTTACCCTATGTTATTGGACATATCAGAAGCTTTTCTTGAAAAATACTTCAGTATGCTGACAACCTCAATGGACTCTGTGGAATAGATACCAGAACCTACTGCATCAACCATTTTTGATCCGTCCGTTATTATTTTGAAAGTTCCGTCAAAAAGTTGGAACTTAACACAAGCAAGGGAATAATTTTTGAGCTTCCTTTAATGAACTTTATTTGTCCCTACTTTACGCCTAATATAAAAAACTTATTTTCTTATAGTGGTCACCGTTCGGCAGGCTTAAGATGAACATCACAAATAGTATAATAGAGAAAATCGATCGTTCTAGCAAAGTACTATATCAGCGTTGTGTTCGCTGGACCAAAAGGGAATAAATTTATTGAAAATATTTAAAAAGAATCACGTTTCATGAAACTCTACCGGACTGTTTTGTGTACATGAAAATTGTCTACGTGTGAAGCGAAAATATAAATAACTGCTTATATTGATTATTATGAGACAAATTATTAATGAATCTTATTCCAAGTTGTATGGATATTCATTTCTATTTATGAAAATCATCTCAGATTTATGTATATTCTGTACAAGACAAATTTAATTTAAGTGGGTATTCTACTCTAGAATGTTGAAAAATTCGATTTTTTTTCATACATTTAAAGTTTAGACCCTTAAGAACATATCCTCCAAAAGATTTTTAAAAACTAAAATTATTTTAAGAGCTGTAGTTACTTTAGTGACGCAGTACCTAGCACGGTAGGTAGGTAGGCTCACTCTTTTAAACGCGTTTTTCTCGAAACTACTTTTTTCCACACGGTACCGGCATTATCTCAAGTTCTATACAATCGATTTACTGGAATTTTGTGTGAACCTTCTTTATATAATCCTTTATGCTTTATCGTTATATAATCCTTAATCCTTTGTTTTGAATATTTAAAAAAAAAATTCAGGAATTTCAAAAAAAAAAAACGTAAAAAATTATTTTTATTTTCAGGCAGTCACCATTTTTCAAAAAAAAATTTCTTGTTCCCTGAAAGAAATAGGGACTATAATAGCATCTTTACTGATTAAGAATTTCTTTTGATTTTTTTTTTTTTTTTCAGACCACCAAGAGAGTCAGGATCAATGTCACCAGGATGCACCACTTTATCATGTAGGTGTAGGAATTGTTTTCAGTGCATAATTTCTTCAATTCAATTTTTTTATTGATCATAATGACATACAAATAATTTTGAACAGACATAGCAAGAGTGGCTTTCTAATCGCAAAAAAACTCAAGGTCATTTCATGTACATACATACATATATACATACATATGTACATATATTACTAGAAAACGAAATATCTTTACTGCCTTTCCGCTATTTCCCATAAAAATATTTCCATGTAAAAAAGATTATTTTTAATCTGCTTTTTAATTAAATTTCCAATAAATAAATTATTTTTAGATTGATATTATTTTTAATGTACAATTTCTTTTGAACGAGCGAAGGTGTTAATTTAATAAGAATGCAAAATTCTGGAATAATACAAATACAATTATAAGAAATTTTTTAGCTTTTCCATTGCTTTTATATATAGTATAGCATATGTGTATATAAAATTTTTATTGTTTTTTTACTAAAGTAAGAGTAAAGGTAAAAAAATATTCTTAGCTGCTTTAAACAAAACGATGAATGAGGATGAAGAAGAAATTACGCAGTGGCAGTTGAATGTTACGGTTGAACGGATGATGCTTTTTATGGCATTGGTATTACACACACCGATGAGACGACGCACAGTATGCGACAAAAATAAGTTTTTAAACTATGAAAGGTTTTTAAAATGCTGTGATTTTTTTTTTTTATTAAAACAATTTTTATTTTTCGTGAATTTTTGTTTTTATAAAAACAAACTAGATAAGAAAAGTATTGTAGCCATTAATTAATAAATAAAAATAAATAAATAATATACTCCTGTCTCTTATACACATCTAGATGTGTATAAGAGACAGCAAATAATAATTTGAGGCTCTTCAATTTCCATTAATTTTATACAAAATGAACTTTGATTAAATTAAATTAAAATTTGAACAAATGTAAAATATTTTCTTGTTTAATACCAATATTAAAATACATGTACATAATTAAAAAATAATTTAGAAGAATTTGAAAAAAGTTATTGGAAATTTTGCATTCAATTAAAAGAGAGAAAATTATTTTTGTGTCATACTGTAAATTCTGCATTAAAGAATTATTTTTGATTATATTATGTATGAATGAATGAACGTAGATATGTATGCAACAAGTACACTATGTAACAAATCTTTAATCTTGTTAGTTAATATTGATTTCGTGAACCAGTGAACAAATTTCTGAGTATTATTTTAAGTCAGCTCGAATGAAGGAGCTTTTTTATTTAAAATTTTAATTTTTAGAAACAAAATAATGTTATTAAATTAAAAATGGTTTTCATAAAAATATATCTCAAGAGCGAATATTTGTGTATATATTGGATGAAATACAACTTTTTTCATAACTGATCTGAGGCAGTTGAAAAAAATCCGGAAATTATTATTTTTCTTTACTTTTCTTTACTAACTTAAAAAGAAAGGATCCGAATATTTTTTTGGAAAATTTTCTTGTTTATAATAACTTTAAAATTCGATTCTGAATTTTTTTACTTATTATTCTTTTTTTTAGTAAAATGAATTCAGAAATAATTTTTTATTTTTACTTTTTACTTTTTATTTATTTATTTTTTTTAATATTTTGTTTATTCGAACTAACCCAGTAGTATACCACTGGACATCAGCGTATCAAAAGCATAATTATGAACCAAAATTTCCAGCAAAGAGACTTTGTTGCACAGTGTAATAAGTAATGTTATGTTAACAGTACGACGTGGGTGGTTGATGCGTACACAATGAATGCCAAAAATACTGTAAGCGAATATATTTTGGTATGTATACAAGTTGTTAAATGCATTCTGTGCGCACACAGACCATACAAGTCAGTCGTACACTCACCTTTTGGGTTTTTTATTTTGCGCCAGCACTATGTTCGGTACACACGCCAAACAGCCGGAGAGGAAGAGCCAATATTGCTACGCAATTTACTTGCCACACAGCAGCTGACCCTCAGACTGGGGTTTAAGCATAAAACAAAACCGCCGAAGAAGGCTGCTAGCCAATTGCAACGACGTTGACAATGACAGCACTTTGGCGGCGCGGGTGTGTGGAATATTGTTGTATTTTCTCCAAAGCAATAAAAAAGAATACTTGTTGAAATTTGCGATTGCAATTGCGCTGTTACAAGTTGAATGATCCTGTGTTATGTGATGTTTGTCCTTGCGCCCACGTGGTAGTCATGCAAACTCTCACAGACACAGATGCGCACACACAAATGCCGACAAGGTTGTCTATATTCGCGAAAGCACCAGTTATTTCGCACAAATTCAGAAAAAGCAGTCGCACACGTACACAGAACTTGTTTGTTTGTGTTAATTTTCTTATTGCTTGTTGTTATTGTATATTTTCAGGGTGTGAACAAGGGGGGTGCTCTGCTGTCTGGAGGGTAGGTGCAAGTTTGATTTCAGTTGAACTTTTTTTTATGATTACAGGTCACTGTACGGTGAAAATTGCGAATTCCACACACGCATTATGTGTTGTTGGTGTTGTGGAGATATTTATTTGATTTTGCGAATTTTTGTTGTTGTTGTTGCTGAAACTCTTGTTATTACTTTCGTTGTGTACTGCGTCGTTAATTTTCTAACACAATATTCACTTATTCGTTGTTTTTGTAAAAAAAAAAAATTCTGTTGATGATCTGCTGCTATCGCACGCTCTACGCGCGTGTCCTTGAACTTGGCGAACGTACTTTCACTAATGCAGATAACGAATACTAAAAAATTGCGACCAAACAATTGAAAAGTGTCTTTTTATAGAACAAATAGCACGAAAAAAGGAAAATAAAGTAAAATGAAGAAATGCAAGCAAAAAAAAAAAATTAAACCTAAAATACACAAAATGACGTCCGCGAAGAGGGCCAAAAAAAAGCGCTATTTGGCTTTTGGTTTGAGTTAGCTTTACTTAAATGATATGTCGAATTTTGTGAATTTTTTTATTTAATTTTCTTATACATATTTTTGTTTAAGTTTTTTACCACACACAAAATTAATTTAATTTTTTTTATGCGCAAATTTAAAAAAAAAAAAAATTGTGCAGCAGTCGTAAATTAAACGTATCAAAAATAGCATTCACTTTCGAAATTTTGCTTTTCACTTTTTTTGTTAACACACTATTGGGCGCTAGTACGAACCAGCCCCTTTTTCATTTATTGCTTCACACTAACACCCACTATTCACAGCTAAGCTGTTAATATGATAAATACGTCATTTACCTTTTTTTATTATTATTGTAATTTATTTATTCATTACGTTTCTTTTGTTAATTTTGTCAAAATGTTGACAAGTAAATTTTTGTTGTTGTTACCTTTTGTAATTTCCTCACATTTAACTTGACCAATAGTGTCAAACCGTAAATAGCTCAACTGCACTAGGTAGATTAAATTATTAAATTTATTTTTTATTATTCACTTTTTGCCTCTTCCGCAGTGTAACACTTCAACGGCTTTGTTGTCTTCATTAGAATAATTGAATATTTCATAAGCGCGCACCGTTTTGGCTCAGAGGCGGCAAAATGCGTTCAACACTATTCTTTTATTGTGTCTTTTTTTTTTTTGTTTTTGTTTTTGTTTTATGTTAAATGCGCTTTGTCTATATTTTACAATCGTATGTCTACTCGACGAATGCGATTCGTAGCAGAACGATATCACAGCCGACATCGCTGTTACATTTCGTATATTCGCGCATGATTCACCGCCCGCTCATATACACGCACACCCACTCACACACACATTACTATGAGCACAACCCAATTCACTTTGGTTTTACAACAAATGCATGCGCTGTTGTTGTTGCTGTTATTATTGTGTTTTTGATGCGCAATGTGAATTTCTTTGTTGTTTGCTAAAGACGCTGCTTAGCATGCGAGTGGGTTGGGGTAGGCTATTCGCGAATACAAACTTGCATACAATCATATGGAATGGTTTGTTTAGAAAAGGAGTGTCGGTGTTTTGTTTCTTGGTTTGTTCATTTTTTTTTGTTTGTTTGCTAAATCTTTATTTGGTCATTGAGGTTGTACGCCGTGAGTTGCAATCGCAAAGTTTTCTGTGAAATCAGCAACAAACCAGTTTTTGTGGCGCTAAATTATTCAAAGTCGATATTGATCTTGATCATTGGTTAATTTTAGATAAATATTTGAAAAAGTGTGTTAAGGGGTTATATTCATTGGCAAGTAAGAAAAAACGTGTTTTTCATGTTTTGTTTGCAGATCCATTTTATTTATTAAATAAATATAAAAAATATACGTTTTTAGAATTTAATGCACTTAAATACTCGGGGATTCATTCGACAATTTTTGGATTTCCTTGATCTGGTAACCGATCTCCTCGAGGGCCTCCCTAAAAATGTGTCGAGCGGTGAAATGATTTTCCGGCTTCAAATTTATAGTTCGATCATTACTCGACAAATATATATGTATATCTAAATAGTTCGTGTAAATATTTGAAGATGACTCGCCAACTCTGAAAGCCACTTATCGAGAAAAACACCTTTAAAGTTTTGTAAGACGCTTTTCCCAAAAGTTTTACAAATTCCTCATATCCCCAAAAGTATTTACCGGATGAAAAAAAGTAAAAAAAAAAAAAATCTATACTCTGCTAACTATGCCTAAAAGTTCTCTACAGACATTCTAGAGACGTCTTCCTTAGGGAATAAAAGCGATCAACCTAGTAATAACGGTGATTTAAATTAGTAATTGCATTCGTTTCGTATCAACTATGGATTACAATGATCCCTGGAGATTAATTAATTTTCTTAAAGTTACACATTTTATGAAATATAATTATCAAATAAATTATTGTTCAGGCTAGATAAGGTTCAAGTTTGTATAAAATGAATTATATACAAACCATATGTTGTCTGAAAATGCTTTCAGAATATTAATCAGTATCAAAATTTATGAACTATCCATTTTTAAGTAAATTCAAGAACTCATTTTTTCAAAACAGAAGAAAAAAATTCTCCAAAAGTAATTTTAACCTTAATAATTTATATTTTAGAAATTAAACAAAAAAAACCCTAAACATTCTTATTACATTTACTGATATTATTTTTCCTTGGTATCCTAACAAGCAAGTTTTTTAAATTTTTCTACAAAATTAACAAACTTAATTTCACTATAATTATTATCCCCTTTTTATGGTGCACACATAATGAAAAGTAAGCAACACTGTTCTTGTTGGATTTCTTATTGGCTGAGATCATAACAAAGCATATAAATATTATACGTGTATTTTTCGCTTTGCCGGAAGTACAAAAACAAAATGCACTTAGAAACAATAAACAAAACGATAAAAATATTTATGTTTTCTAATATAATATTTAAATATTAAAAGTAATGATATAAACAAACGGCAGAAATATAATCTGAAATAATGCAGGAATCGCTGCTAATTGATACTTGTAAGAAATTATAGAAGAAATGCAATAACTTTAATTAAATGTTCTCATATTTCTATTTTGCAAAAAAACACGCAACGTAAACAGAATAATTAAATAAGTATGTATGTAAAATTAAACCCACGTTTGTATGATTTTCAATCGAATTTTCTATGAATTCTTAGTTGCTGTGTTTTGTTGTGAAATACAAAAACGTAAATGCGTATGTGAACAACTGTGACGTTTTCTTTTCAACCATATTTCCTATTGGAGTTACAATTTAGGGTTGTTTGACTATCGACAACACTCAACATATGACCAACTGCATGACACAGCAACAAAACACATTACTTTACTACACCAGCTGCAAGTAAACAACACTAACAACAACAACAGCACAGCAACAAGCGCTGCACTTCGCTGGCGCACATCACCAGCTGCTACATTGCACTTGTCAAATTCCATTTTCTAATCAGTGCTATTTAAGAGACAAATTCTTTAGCGCTTTTAATATTTTAACAATTTTAACTCTTCCACCAACGTTTCCAGGCACGCACAAATATATGCCCTCTTATTTATAACACAATAATCAATACAAATATTATTTAAAAAAAACACTTTAGCTAGTGCCGCTCCAATTGGATTCACAAGCCGAGCACAGCGAACGGCAACGTAGCAGCGCAGCAAGCAGCACGGGCTTTCATTTTATTTACGCCATGCTATTCGCATATAAAAACACTTTGTACATTAAAAAGAAAAAACTGATAATCCAAATGCCATCATAATTTTCGACAGACGTGCGAAGGTACAACGTTTAACCGCAAAACTTGATTTCTGTGCACTTTGCACGTTTTCTTGCTATTTGCCGTTTCATACCTACGTTCGTTTGCACGTCGTCGTCGTCGACGCAAAATTCAACTTCAAACACTCACTAAATAAAAATGCCGAAATAAGCTGCGATTGCACATATCAAACATTGAATAAAAACTCCGGCTTTTACCGAACACTTTGTTACTTCGTTTTATCACTAGATCTTTAGTTAATTTTACTTAAATTCAATGTATTTAACGTTTTCACTTCACCTCAAATCTAGTTTACGTTGGATCTACGAAACTTTTGTGTTAATTTAGCAAAATTCTTAAATGAACTGAACACACACAACAACTACAACTCGCTGTCATACGAGTTTTGTTGCGTTTGCTTTCAATTTTCGTTCGTTGAAGTTATTCACCATGCCAAGTGTGTTGAAATGCTTTGCTTAGATAAAAGCTTTGTAATATTGAAAAGCTTTTTAATTGGAAATGAGAGCGCAAGAGTGAGTCATGGGTTGTATTATGATGAATTGGGTAAAACGTAGTAGACACATTTTGAGAAATTAGGCACATTTTGAGAAATTAGTACTCGTTTTAAAAAAAGTATATTATATATCAGAGGTTAGTGGCCTTTCCGCCATTTTAAATATACTTTACATACATACTTTAGAACAGCATTAATAGTTTTTCAAAGTTTTCATGCTAAAAGCAGCTGTTAATAGAATGATAGCGCCACCCTGGTACTGACAGATGTGCGTTGTGTGATAAATTCAGGTAAAAAAAGTGACTATACATAAAAAATAGTTTTAGTGTAAATGTAAAAAAAAACAAAAAACGGTATCAGATTAAGCACTTAGCTATGCCATAAATTTTCATAAAACAGATTCATAACTTCCATTATAGATAAATTCAAGTTTGCTGGTATTTTTTTTTTTTTAATAGGACTTGTTAATCAGGACTAGCTTTTAGTGATATAATATCCATGATATTTACTTAATTCAGTTCTTTAGAAAATATGAAAGGTATCTTAGAACATTTATGGCTTAGATTCAGTGGGTAACCAGAGTTTCCAAAAAAGTTCTCAATGGGGGTTGAGAGTTTTACCGCAACAGGGCCACTATCGCCTCTATTTTAATAAAGAAAAAACTGATAATTAAAAAAATAATGTATTTATTCTCTACACCTAATACCTTAATTAAATGTCTCATTATAATATTATGAAATATAGTACATTTTAGTACATTTAACACACCCTAATAATAAGTAGTCGCATTTCCACTTAAATCCATCTAGTCATTTAGTTGTGATAAGAAAAAAGAAACAAAAATAAATTCTTATAATTATGTATCGCTCCTTATCATACCACTATTCTTATACGCCTGTTTTTATAAACAACTTGACTCGCTGCTGCATGAATTATAATAATTTTTAATAACCACATTTTATTATGGCAGATTGTACAAATGAAAAAAATAAATAAAAAATGTTTATAAAACTTCAAAGGTTGTCTGCAACACATACATACATACTCTCAGTAACAATATTTATAAAATAAAATAATTCTACTTGCACTTACCTGGCTAATGTACCGACAACCGCTAAGATCGGACATAATGTTTCGCTGATCATCTCTGCTTTCCCAACCCTTTTCGTTGCCTAAGTTTAACGACTTCATAACCGTTGTACTCTTATCAGGTTCTTTATTCTCCAATATCGTCATATGGTACGCCTCTATGTCTTTAACCGGCGATAAAGACTCCAAACGCGGCAGATAATCTAGATCAATCATTTTCTGGAAGCATTCACCTTATGTTTGCTGTAAAAAATATAAACTTCAATTAATATTATATACTATATATAAAATTTTTATAACAAATGAATTATGACACTTTGGTGTACGTTTAAGAGGTAGTATCCAAGTTTTTGCTCCACCGTCTACAGTTGAAAGGTCCAATCTATTTTATAGTTCTGCCAAAAGAAATAAAAAACAAGAGAGTTAATAAAAAAATAGACATTTTGTTCTCATTATGATATATCTAAAACGCTCTTTAAGAAAGATTACCGATTTTATTTTCCTTAGTAGGACTCTCGCTCATTTCTATATTAAAGGTTACATATGTACATCTGTAGATTATATAATCATAATTTAATATTTTTCATTTAAATATGTATAACTCAAATAAATGTAGTTTTTTTAAAGCAAAACACAAAAATTTTCGAATATTTTGGGTTTTATTAAGGACGTTGCAATATTGAGGGTTGAGCTCGCTCACTGTGCACTTAAAATTAGTGAATGAGTGTCTGTCGCGACTGTCAACAGTCCTTCATTATTTATTTTATTTGTGGATCTGTTCATAACATAACGAGAGCGATGAGTTCGCAAGGAAGAGCACCCTTAACCCAATTATAGTACCTTATAAAGAACCATCTGGATCTCTGCTCTCGTCTTGCTTGTTGTGATATATAGCAAGCGTTGCTCAACTACTAGCACCTGTGCGATTGCAAGATCTTTTTTATGTAGAGTAGAATGCAAGGGATTCACTGAACTACTTGCTCTTAGCAAGATCTTTCTGGAAGCTATCCCATAGCCATATATGTGATAAGGTAGAAAATCGTGTCGAGAACAAATTGTGAAAGTTGTATGGAGGAAGATGAGTTAGATACATTCCGACATTTTCTCCTGCATTGTTCTCGCGAACCAAGTGAAATAGCCGAAATTGATATTAGACACCTCAACAAATTGGTGCTAGGCTTAAAGTGCTTAATAATGGTTTTACAAT